CCCTATTATAGTTTTACCGCGTAAAGACCATATCATGAATTTATTAGTTGATTATCATCATAAATTGAATTCTTACGCTGGCCCCAACTTGCTGATGTCAATCTTGCGTCCGAATCATTGGATTCTTTCAGCACGTAATTTAATCCGCAATAGGGTGCACAGATGTATAGCTTGCTTTCGGGTACGTCCTAAGTCGTCATTTCCGGAAATGGTGGACCTTAGGTCTTGTCGAGTAACACAATCCGTAAAGGCCTTTATGCACACCGGTTCTGATTTTGCTGGTCCGTTTAAGGTCACGCTCACGCACAAAAGCTTACGTCTGCATTTTCTTATGTCTGACTACTCGGCCTGTGCATATAGAGCTCGTTGGTGACCTAAGCACAGCGGGCTTTATGGGTGTATTTAAAAGATTTCTTTCCCGCCGTGGCCCTGTACGTAAATTGTATTCGGATAACGGTACGAACTACGTCGGCGACAAACGTATTTTATCAGAATTACATGAGCTTTTAGCCAGCAAGTATTATAATTCGGAGTTCGCTCACATCCTAGCCGAGAACCGCATCGAGTGGTCTCTGAACGTCCCAGCCGCGACTCATTGAGGGGGAAATTTGGAGACTAATATTAAGAGTCTAAAGAGTCATTTATACCGAGTAATAGGAGATCAAATTTTGTCCTTCGAAGAGTTAAGTACTGTGCTCGCTCAAATTGAGTGCGTTATGAATAGTCGCCTCCTTTCTCGTACGCTGTCAAGTGACCCCTCGGAGCATCTGGCTCTAACTCCAGCACATTTTTTGAATTTAACGCCTTTGAAGTATCTGCCCGTCATAGACATGGACGAGAACAAACTTTGCATTTCCGCACGCTATAAATTATTGGACTGGTTGGTGCAGTTGTTTTGGAAACGATGGAGGATGGAATACTTGCATACTTTGCAGTCTCGGCAAAAATGGAACACAGCAACTGAACCTTTAACTGTCGGAACTGTGGTTGTGCTCACCAAGGAGAATAAGCCGCTCCATTGGCCAATAGGGATTGTCGAAAAAAGATTTCCCGGTTCCGACGGGGTAATTAGGGTAGCTCGCGTTAGGACAACGACTGGGCTTTACATGCGTCCTGTTGTCCGTTTGTGCCCTTTGCCCCTTCAATAGTTTAAATTAGCTTTCTAGATTAGAAATTGTAGTCGAAAGTTAGGTTTAGTCTTAGCGTTAGTTGTTTTGAAGGAGACCCTTCAAGCCGGGGGGGCCGGTTGCGCAGAAAACCATTCGTATTTTAATTTTATTCGAGGGTATGCTTGCCAAGCGTTGTCCTTTCCTTAACCTATCCTCCCTCCGTACACACCGGGGTGGTGGAGTGAGAGTGGACAGAAGAGATTCTAGAATGTTGCGTGATTATCGCAACCAATGAGAAGCGCGCCCGACCGAGATGCATAGATAGGAGGGCCTAAGCAATATTAGCTCGCGCGCTGTCCTCGTGCTCTCTTGCCTTTGCGCCGCTTGTTAGAACCACACCGCCTGAGACAGTCGAGTCCTAGAGGGCTCTTGCCCACGCGCCACTCGTTCAAACCGCACCAACCTGGAGCAGTCGCGCTCCAGGAGTAACCGCCTCCCTAGTGTGAGATATCGTCGCACACTGCTCTCTTCCATCGCATCACCAGCCAGGACCGCACCCCTGGGGCCCAGGATATCCGCCAGAAGTCGCACCGCAGCAACAGAAGCGTCCAAGCCGCATCGAAGTCACACCCCGGTAAGTGTGTTTCTTTTTCCTATAACTCAATGCCTGCTTGGGTATTTCTTTGTTAGTTAACCCGCCCCATTTCATTCCTCCTAATGTGCTCAAGCAGGATTCCTTCATAACCTTGGCAAACAATAAATTTCGGAAGAGCGAGTCTCTCTCTCTTCCATCGCACCACCGGCCAGCACTCTTCGTATTTTAATACCACACCGCACCCCTGGGGCCCAGGAGATCCGCCAGAAGTCGCACCGCAGCAACAGAAGCGTCCAAGCCGCATCGAAGTCACACTCCGGTAAGTGTGTTTCTTTATCCTATAACTCAATGCCTGCTTGAGTATATGTTTGTTAGTTAACCCGCACCATTTCATTCCTCCTAATGTGCTCAAGCAGGATTACTTCATAACCTTGGCAAACAATATATTTCGGAAGAGCGAGTGCATTGTCAAGGAACCGCGTGACACATCTGCCATCTTGTTGAGGCAGAAGAAGCTTACCGCGTATACAGTCCATCTAGTATAACATCTCGCGTAATAGAGTCAAGGCTCGACCGGGGAATCGGACAAAGATATATAAATATCGCGAATCTAACATTATAGACGTGTTAAGTATTATTGATAGATATAATAAACTAATATTTAATATGTAAATATTTTGTTTTATAATAATATTAAAGAAGAATACTTGGATAGACAAAATAACACAAACTAATATTTATACAATATAAAAGACTCCCCAAAAAACATAATTGATAATTTACTAAATTGAAAGAATAGAGTAAAAGAAACCATAATGTATATTTACTTGCATAACATTCGTATATAATGTGGACGCACCTTCGTCGCACAATTATATCGCGCACGTACTATATACGTAAAATGTACATTTTTGTTACGTATATAGTATAGACAAACTAAACTGAGAGAGACCAGTGAATTGTTTAAGCAATATTTGAGTTGATTTTCTTAAGCAATATAATATCTTTAAAAAGAGAATAAAAGAACAAGCAAAGTAAGATTAAATTAATTTTAAAATGTCTCTTTCCTGTGATATATGCAAAGCCGGAGACGTGTCGTTCTTCCTTACGTAGAACCTCCCGTTTTTTGTCCACACATATTGATACTGCTTAAGTTTCACCGCCTCCCTACATTTCTTTAGCAAAAGCTTATTGCAGTATGTAAGATGGTCATTGACATATACAGAACGTACACTGCCATGAATGCCAAGATCTTTGGTGGTCAGTCGATTTTTTCGAATACCCGAGATTATGTTGTCCTTTAGGAGACGGGATTTTAATTTTGCAACTATGTTTTTTGACGGCCTTGTTGTTTGACTTTCGGTGCGACACGGTTGACTTCTACGACATTATCAGCGGAAATATTTACATTAGTGCTTAGCAACGGATAGAATTATTTTACTTAAATCTTCATCCTTGATTTCAGGGACTCCGACGATCTCTAAGTTCAACAGACGGTCTCTTAGATTATTTGTGTTAATTTCCAATTGTAATTGTCTATTTTCATTAGTCAATAAATGCAATTTTGATTCGAGTGATTCAATTGCTTTTTTATTCATCATCATCATCATTACAGCCCTTCACAAGTCCACTGCTGAACATAGGCCTCCCCCAAGTAATGCCACAAAGCACGGTCCTGAGCCACCTGCATCCATCGACTTCCTGCATGTCTTACCAGGTCGTCACTCCATCTAGTGGGGGTCGCCCTACACTACGCCTACCGGTACGAGGCTGCCACTCGAGAACCTTTCTTCCCCATCGGTTATCGGTTCTTCGAGCTATATGGCCGGCCCATTGCCACTTCAGCTTACTAATCCGTTGGGCTATGTCGGTCACTCTGGTTTTACTGCGGATATCCTCATTTCTGAGTCTATCACGCAGAGAAACTCCGAGCATAGCCCTCTCCATAGCTCGCTGAGCGACCTTAAGCGTCCTCATACGGCCAGCAGTGAAGGACCACGTCTCAGATCCGTAAGTCATCACTGGCAACACGCACTGGTTGTACAATCTAGTTTTTAGAGATTGAGGTATACCTGACGAAAAGATATGCCGTAATTTCCCGAACGCTGCCCAGCCGAGTTGAATCCGTCGATTGACCTCTCGGTCGAAGTTGGACTTACCGGACTTAGTCCGTACCGGAGTTAGTCTTAGTCGGACTATTTGTCCCAGGTAAACGTATTCGTCAACAACTTCGAGCATAGTGCTCCCAACAACTACCGGCATAGGTGTGACATGGACATTGAACATGATCTTTGTTTTGTCCATGTTCATCTTAAGACCTATCCGTTGGGAGGCACTATTGAGGTCATTGAGCATAGTGCTTAAGTCCTCCAGCGATTCTGCCATAAGGACTATATCGTCGGCAAATCGAAGGTGAGTGATGTACTCGCCATTGATGTCAATACCGTATCCTTTCCAGTCCAGTAGCTTGAAAACGTCTTCCAATGCAGCGGTGAAGAGTTTCGGGGATATAACGTCACCCTGTCTTACACCTCTCTGCAGTTGGATAGGTTTCGAGCTCTGGTTTTGTACTCGGATAGCCATCGTAGCCCTACTGTACAAACACTTCAGCACTTCGATATACCGACAGTCAACTTGGCACCGCTGAAGGGACTGTAGCACCGCCCAAATTTCGACGGAATCAAAGGCTTTCTCATAATCCACATACGCCAGGCAAAGTGGCAGATTGTACTCTTCAGTCTTCTGTACAATCTGCCGCAGGGTATGTATGTGGTCTATGGTACTGAAGCCTTTTCGGAAACCGGCTTGTTCGGGAGGCTGGAAGTCGTCAAGTCTGCGTGCGAGACGATTCGTAATGACTCTCGAAAACAGCACGTAGACGCGGCTCAGAAGGGAAATCGGTCTGTAGTTCTTTAAGAGAGCGTTGTCGCCTTTCTTAAAGAACAAGACCACCGCACTTCTGCTCCACGCCTCTGGAGTAGTGCCACCATGGAGGACGGAATTGAAGAGCTTCTGAAGGACTTCAAGTACCGGTGTTCCACCCGCTTTCAGAAGCTCCGCTGTAATTCCATCCTCGCCTGGGGCCCTGCCGTTTTTAAGGTGCTGGAGAGCCATTCTAATCTCGCTTAGACTGACGTCCGGGATATCATCGGAATAGTGTCGGATAAGACTTGCTCTTGGATCGTTACTCACACTTGCGTGTGGCTCCAACGATGATGTGTACAGCTGCCCATAGAACCTCTCAATCTCACTCAAAATCTCAGGTGTCCCGGAAACGATGTTGCCACACTCAGTCTTCAGCCTTGACAGTTGGCTCTTTCTTCTTTTTTATTAACGGCTATAAATTCCGTTTTCTTTTGGACGTTGTCGCATTGGTCGCTATTGAACTGTACATAGTTTTCTAAAACTATGATTTGCTTCATTACCTCATTGTGATTTAAGTTAAGAGATTGGACTGACTTTTTAATTTTGTGATATTCCTGACGAACACTGCTTATTTCCGACTTTATTTCAGCGTAGGATGCATTTAATTTCTCAAGATCAGTTTTTAATACAAGGTCCAAATTGTTTTTAATTCCGGATACTTCGTCTTGAATTTCCTTTTTCCAGTCATGCAAAGTACTATGTATCTCTGAGGTAAAAGTTTTGAGAGCCTCTGAGAAGTCGCTATCGTGTTTACGCTTTCGAGTATTCATACTGCTTGGCTCACCTGATTTATTGATGTCAGGGTTGGAACTGTAAAGCTTGTCTGGCGACCGCAACATTACGAAGTACCAATTCTGCAGAATGCTTTGATCTATGAAATAACACAGAACTGTGCTACTTTTCTGAATTAGACCTTATGTGTTATATTAGACCTTATGTGTACTGTTTAATAAGGTTTATATTTCAATAAATGTAATGGACTGCACCCAACAACACGTCCACTCTCTAAGAAAGTCGAAAGACAATGTTATTTATTGTTGTATTATTATTAATACAATATTATACATACAATGTTATATTATTATTGTAGAGTTATTTTCATAAGATAAAGGATGAACAAACACATTCTGTATGGCTGCTGAAGGAGGAGAATAAGTCACTTTGTTCTTGGATTCTATATTTGAGGACGATATATTATATAAGCTCTGCGTTCCGTAGGATTAACAATATGGTCTGATAAAATTTTGCAGTAAAAAAATGAAAAAATTCGGGTGAAGATCCAGATATTGCAGGATCATCCGTAGGATCTGAATTCTGTTCAATCTCTTCCATCACAAGTAATAAGTTACGAATAATAACAAACACTTATACGTACAGTAATTGGATTAAAATAAGAAAAATAAAATAGATTCAAACGAAAATAACGCTAATAATTAAACATTTCCGGAGAAAACTTAAAAAACACGTATGAAAACCATTCACCATTACAATAGAATCCCGCTTGTGAGATTTTGTCGACAGCATAATGGCTGATTTACACAGGGACAGTAACTAGCTCCAAATTCGAGGCAAATCAGTGCTGACTTACTACTGAAGGCAATTTTTTATTACATATACATAAAGTAAATTAATTTTAGTAGTTGTAGTAGTTATGTCTACTATATAATATATAAATTGATTTGGGGTCAGTACAGCGTTGTCGCCGCACAATATGTTGATAAGTCACATTGTGACGTTTTTGGGAGGTTTTTACGACAGCTCAACCCAGCGAAGAGTCGATGACAACGGTAACTCAAGTTGACAAGGCGCATAAGCGATCAAAATAACTTAAGATTTTATACCAACATCGAAGCACTTAATACACAAAATTGCATCAAACGTATCACGATGCACTTCAAACCACTATTTAAACGATAAAACGGGAGCAAAAATCCGTCGACGGTCAAGTTGCCGCCAAAACTCCCATTTCCAATAATAGTTTAAATGCCCAAAAACGCGGTCACTTTTACGTACCAAAATTCACTTAAATGCATTATAATGGGTCTTTACCTATGAAATTGCTGTTCTGTTGTACTGGACATACAAACACGATTTACAAATCAAAATGATTTTCGTTTGGCTAAAGTTCTAATTTCAAATTAATTTTATTTTTAAATGATGGAATTCCTTTTTCAATATCAGTCATTTGTTTATTCACATGGATACGTTAAAAATTCGAGTAATTATGGAATGTGAGTACCGTAGTGGCAGCAACGTGGTTCTGTTTCACCCCTTTAGGGGTATATATGTGTCCTGTGTTCTGTTCTGTGTAGAATTCGATTGAGACACACACTTGTTTCTCTGTTTTTTAACGAAAATTAAGATTAAAGATAGCTCAATTTGTGAATACAATCTAAATGAAGTTACGTCGTTCGCATTAATTTTTTAGCTGCCCTATCCTCTCCTTTTCATTATACAATATTCTTCCTAATAACAACCCCTGTCCTATAAATCTCAAATCTTTGTTAAATTTAGCTCACACTCCGTTTGTACAAAATTTATTAGACTTCATATCCATCAATAACATTAAACTATGGAACTTTTTGCCTCGTTCATCCTTTTTATTATAATAATAAAAAAAATTAAAACTAATTGTTAATTCTTTTTAAAAATAACGTAACTTCGTACGGAAACGGAAACTAATCTAACTATGTGACATCCATGAAATATTTGGCGCTGGCAGAATCCACTGGTAGTTGCCAAACTAGAAAAAAAATCTCACAAGTCCTTTGCAATGGGACGCATCAGTTTATAGTGAAAATTTTTGAGAACATAATACAAATTGGATTAGGATGTATGGTACCTTTACCTTTGCCTGTTAACTCGCAAATCGTAATGACAACAACAAATAACCTCGCGTTTCATTTTCACGTCTCACGTTTGTTTATGTTTAGTACAAAATATAACATATTGATTTCAATAATTTAAAGTTTTACACAGATATAAACATATTTATAATGGGAAAACGAAAAGGTAAATGTGTGAAAAAGAACGCAGCAACTAAACAGGCTTTAGAACCAGAGCATTTAGTGAAGGCCCCACATTCTTTCGTAATTCACCGAGGCAAATGTTCTAAAGACTTAGTGGATTTGACTAAAGATTTTAGAAAGATAATGGAGCCGTTCACAGCATCGCAACTAAAGGTTTGTTACTTGGCGATGTATATAATACATTGAGTTCATAATGTTGTTATTACTTTTGCATACATTACATTTTATACTTTGACCTGGATATCTAGGGTTCGAAGTATCAGTCTTGAGTACTTATATGTTGATTGAAGCCTTAACATTAAAACCCAAAACCTATTAAACTCAGAGTAAAAGTATTCAGTACTTTAACAATAAATTATACCTCATTATACTTATCAAAAAAAAAAAAAAAACATACATATCATTGTTCATTTTTAAAAATGCAATTTCCATAACCTTAGGTTGTATTACTGGAAAATAAGGTTTATTTTGAAATTATTTCGTATCAAGTATGTATTTGAATAATAAAAATTATTCATTCTTTTAATATTAATTAACAGGTGAATATACAAAACATCTACTTTAAATTTGTATAAAAATGTAAATTGCATATCACTTCATCAGTTTTCATACTTCATATCAACCCGTGGGTGTTGTAAGCTCAAAATATAAAAAGCTGCTGTTGCCTCCCTGCCTGTTGTCCATATCAGGTTATCTATGTAGAAGGGCAATATACATACTTTTGATAGGCTGTAACGAATGGTGAAGAAATGGACAAAAAAGAAGGAAAAACAAATAAAAATAACATTGTGGTGTCTCTTTGACAATTTTTGCTTTAATACTCCTTGAAGCTTCAAAATAGTAGTACATTCTAGTACTACTTCTTTACATGCTAGAGCCACGCCTGCAGCTATACTATAGTTGTAGCACAATTGGGTCAGTTCAACTGGGACATGACAATGCTCTCATAGAATACCAGCATAATGCTGCTGTGTTTTGTATGGTAAGTGTAGAGAACTGGAGATTCTTTTTACTGGAATTGAGACATTCCATCTTAGTCCTCAGGATTTACAACTTATTTGCATTTTGATTCTTAATTGAGAATAAATGCCTATAGGCGACAGCAGCCACTTACCATCAGGTGAACTGTGTGCTCGTTTGTCACCCAATGCTATAAAAAAACTTTGCTAAAATGTTCTTAGAAATTTATTTTAAAGGGTGTAGAAAGAAGCTTGTGTAGGTTGGTTAAGCAATTAAGACTTCAATTGATAATTGTTGACTTTGAGAACTGATTTATACATGATGTGTATGTGGTAGAGCTATGCCACAGCTTTATTATGGTTAGTAGCACATTGGCTCAAGAGGGAAGGACCACACTCTCACATAATACTGGTGTAAAATAGCAGCTTAATGCTGCTGTGTTTTGTATGGTGAATGTAGAGAACTGGAGACCTTTTTAATGGAAACGAGGGATTTCACCTTAGTCCCCAGGGGTGACAACATATCTTCATTTTATTTATTTATTTATTTATTACACAATTATAACATCATTACAGTTATTAAGCCAATGCAATGCTATAACTAACCTAAATATAAGAAAACTACCGACTACTAAATATATGATATCTAGTATGAAATCTATCAAATTGATGGTAAAATAAAATACTTTTTTGATTCTTAATCGAGGATAAATGTAGATGTCTATGGGCCATAGCATCCACTTACCGTCAGGTGGACTGTGTGTTTTGTATGTCTCCCTTATTCTATAAAAAAAATATGCGTAACTGAGGCAAAACTGCAAGAGCTATGACTAGAAGTATTTGTTATTATTGATAATATTTTTTCCAGGAAAGAAAGAAAAATACTATCAAAGACTTTTTATCAGTGTCAGGCTACTTGCATGTATCACATATGATGGTTTTTACTGAGACAGAGCTGGGTACCTACATGCGGCTAGCGAGATTACCTCGTGGACCAACTTTAACTTTCAGAATACACAATGTAAGTTTATTTAATTTTTATTCTAAATCATAAAAACAAAGATATTGTTTGAGTTATTAACATGCACAAATATAAGATTGTACTAAATGTGGAACTGACAAGGCAGTAATTAGTTAAGGTAAGGATATATGACGGTTAGCAGTTGCTGTAAATCTTACAATATGTTGAGCAAACTGGGTTTGATCCCTGCTGGCATCAATGACATTGTAAATTGCAATTTTAAGTGCTGATTTACCACATGTTCAGCTGTGAAGGAAAACATTGTGAGAAAACCTGCATCTCTGAGAAATTAGAAATAAATTATTTCGAAGACATGTGAAGCTTACCAACATTGGAGCAGCGCGGCGGACACTGCCTTACCCTAAAACCTCTTCTCTGCTTCTCCTGTTGTAGGGAGGTTTTATCTTAATTATCACCATTGGCAGGCGAATTTGTCATCATATCTAAATATACACTTTAAAACATTGCACTTAAAATTAAAAAAGTATCTTATTTTATCACTGCACTAGTTAGATGGTTTTAAAGTCCATAACAGACATAGGTAACATTTTTTGTGTTTTATATAGATAGATAATTTTATTTGTGTAGTGATATTATAACTCATGACATAAAAGATGTGTGATGGCAGCGTATGAGAATCCATCATTGTTGTAAGAGACCATGGGAAATGCCAGAATTTTATGACTTCTGACAGATAGTGGTATAACCATCTCATTTACTTCCTACTACGAGAGAGGTTAAATCCAGTCAGTGAAAATTAATAAGCTAAAACACATACATCTTTACTATAATAAATTTCTACTTAGTAGCGTCTGATTTTATAAATTCACTATTTATTAATCTCATCCCAAAGGCATTTGAGATATGCTCTGTATAGTACAGAGATATACTCGAACACTGTCAAAAAGCCATGGAAAGGAGCATGCTGAGAATCAGAAAAATAGATAAGCAAAGAAATACATACATAAGAGCAAGAACAGGTGTAACAGATATTCCCACTAAAATAGACCAAATGAAGTGGAGATGGACAGGTTGTATGCTACGGAGCCCTCAGGATAAATAGAGGAAAATAGTGACAAAATGGTACCCCAGTAACAGGAAAAGAAATAGAGGTCGACGACGCTAACGATGGGAGGACAAATCAAAATTAACATTGGGTTATAACTGGAGAAGAGTCGCAAAAGATAGAGAACAATAAAAGACCTTTGCCAAGAGGCATACCAAACTCCGATACATTTTGTAATAAATCTGAATAAGAAGGGAATAAGATAAAAGTTTCGGGATGTAAAGGCTATATTATTATTATTAAAGGCATATATAATTTGCCAGCATCTTTCTTTCCATTCCATTACAATGTGGGAGTCTTGCAAAGGTCGAAGCATGGGTTTATAGGTTATTGCAAGCTTATGCAGTGCGCTGTAACAGCTTCAGCCACAATAATAATATCCTCCAGACCGAATTTCGGCCACGGCGGCCTGCCTCAACGCATACTAGCCATCGGCGCAGGACAGGATTATAGTGCCCAAGTGTATGCGCAAGCACAGGTGCACTCTCTATTCCCTCACTCTCATAATCCGAAAGGACGGTAAATCGACACGACTGGAGAGAGTTCAGTTCAAAAAAAAAATGTATAGTATGCCTGTATGAATGCGTATATATTATTGTTATATATATGTGCGCATAAATGTGTATGTGTGTGTATATATTTATACACAAATATCGATTATTTTCTAATTGTTTAATACTTACTTAACAGAGATTTCTTACCAACCATAGTACAGTTAAATTTTACCGCTTGTGAACATCCTGTGTACGTTCACTGGCGAACCGGTTTAAAGCGTATTATATCTATCGTAAAATATAATAGATAATGTCTGTACATAGATTGAGCATCGAGTGCCGTCGATGAAGCATGGTGTACAGATAAATTTTCTTAGGTTTTTGCGACACCGTGATAAAATAATTTAAGCTTTGTATTTGATTTATTTTAAATAAAAAAAAGGGCAGGACCAATGGCTTTACGTGCTTTCCGAGGCACGGGGGTGAGACACCGCCAACTTCCTGACTCCGGTTAGCTACTGAGAATTTCTTGACAGAAAAACTCAATAATTGTTTTTAGGCCCGACCCAGGATTTGAACCTAAGACCTCATGATCAGCAGTCGCACTACTACAACCGCTAGACCAATGAGGCAGTCAAACAGCCACATTACTACTTAACTGGATGGGTAGTCAAGCACTGAATTATAGTTAAAAAATTGTAGTCAAACACTGGAATTGTAGTAAAATTGTATGACCTTATTAATAAGGCAGCTATACATAGTTTGAGCAAGTCCCTTCAACAAAGAAAGGTAATCTCAAACACTAATAATTTTCTTAATTACTTATAAAGTACTTTTTTTACAGTATAGCCTTTCCCGCGATGTAGTTTCGTCTCTCCGGAAACAATATGTGATGTCGCGGGCCTTCAAACATGCACCACTCATCGTTCTCAACAGTTTCTCCGGCGAAGGTCACCACATGAAGCTTATGGCAACCATGTTCCAAAACATGTTTCCCACCATTAATATTACTACAGTAAGTCAAATGCTTAACCCTTCAATCCCCATAAAAATCCCATGCTGTCGCATGCGACGCACGCACCCACCCGCAGCACTTAAAACCATTAAAACTTATATTTAGACTACTTTTCTATGAATAAGTTTGACATTATAAAATCTATACAAAATTCTCTATATAAAAGTCAGGTTTTACTTCATTACAAAAAGACTATTGTATTTTGATAACAAGAAAAAACATACCAAGCGAATGTCGGCAGCGTGAAAATCACAACTATTTCAATATATATTACTCGAAATTATTTATGTAAAAAGATAAATTATATTCATTCATACACAAAAACTTCCGTTACAATTTTGTAATAAAACACTATACTAAAACACTAGAAAAATCTAAAACTCGACAAAATTTACGCGATTAACAACATTTACACGAAAATGGCGTACGTAATGAACAGAGATTATAAATAAATATCCGTAGGATAATTGTTTTTTTTATGCACTAGAGTATAGAAAATTTTATATTTATTCTATAATGCCAAACTTCTTCATAGAAAAGTAGTCACTCAAAATAATTTTTAATGGTTTAAAGTGCTGTGGGTGTGCGCAGTCGAACCTGACCGCTTGAATTTTGACGGAATAGCGCCGTGGTCGAATTCGACCGCCAAGAGATTGAAGGGTTAATGCTATACATATATATATATATATATATATGTATGTATATATATTCTAAAATATCGTCTTAAGTCAATTTAAGAAAATACTGATAAAATTATTTCGCCAGTATTTTAATAAACTGAAATGACAAACGAACTTCCCGTCCACCTAATGTTATGTGGCTACTGCGGTCCATAGATACCTGCATACCAGAATACCAGCTCAATGCTGCTGTGTTTTATATGGTGAATCTAAAGAACGAGAGACCCTTTATACTGCAAACAGGGCATTCCATCTTAGTCCTCAGGAATGACAATGCATCTGCATTTTGAGTCTTAATCGAGGATTGATGTAGATGTCTATGGGCCTCAGCATCGACTTATCATCAGGTGTACTCGTATGTCATTCTTATTCTATAAAAAAATTGCTATTGTCGTTGTTTAAAAAAGTCAGCAAGACATTTAATTCACATCCTGAGCCAAAGTCTAGTCACATCATGACAGTGTAGCAGTTTTGGCAGCCAGTGGCGAAGCCTCCATAGAAGCCGAAAAGCCGGGCTTGCATTATCAAACTGAATCAATCAATAATATCAATTAATAAAATAACTCGTAAACTGTTTCAAACTATTTCAAATTTCCCGCGCACTCCACTGTTCGACACATGTCGACCGATGACCTCGTATTGCCTTAGCGATACTACTGCTGTCATAAAAAATGAGTTATAATAGAGCGATTAGTTGTCTCCCTCGCTCGCGTGGGCTTTTTACGGGGCTTTCGAGAAGACGATCGCTCTCTTTCTAACCTATAGCAAAATATTCTATAATGAAATATAACTACGATTGTATATATAGCAATTAGTATAGAGATTTAAAGCCAAGCTTTAGGAATGAATTTGTCAAAAGCGGAGGCGCGCGGGCAATACGTTTGCAAGTTCATTTCACATTTCAATGTTTATTTACTCTGTGTGTTTAGCTTAAGCGATTTAATATTGCGAGTTCAAAATTTATGCTTTTTTAAAGATTTTTAGTGAAAATGGAGGATAATAGTGTTCCTTGTGATGAATTGAAGTGTGTTAAAGTGCTAATCGGAGAGGAAAAGGTAAAATCTTTAAACTTTGTTGAGATAATACACAAGGTCAAGAGTGTATTTCAGACTTACCATTTATCGCAATTAAAAACAGTTATTGGTACAATTAAAACGTTCACCAACATTTTACGTGGACGTAATTAAATCTTTCCTCAAGAAAGCCTGACGATTCCACGTATCTTTTCTTATCTCTTATCCATTAGAATGTAAATAATTTTTTTTTAATTTTGTACATTGTACTTTGTTCATGTTTTACTTTTGTTCATGTATCGTATTGGATGTAAATATTTTTTTCTTTCGCTTAAACAAACCCAAACGGCTTTCTTCAAAGCCACCGATGCTACGCAATTGCTGATATGTAATACAATCTATCTAACAGTGGTATGCCTTCTGTGTGCTTTGTTAAACACGTCCTGGACAGCACTGAATATGAAACTGAAGCGTGGAGACATATAAAGATTGGTGTATTTTTATAAAACTGCTAAAAACAACAATATATATTTTTATCAATTTATATCTTGGGCTTGCCCTAGTTTGGAGCTCTAGCTTCGCCACTGTTTGGCACTATATTCTGAGGGGTGAGGCCTATATGATAATGTTACGAGCTTAGGGTTCGTGACAATAAAAACTGCCGATTGTTACCAAAATTGACACTTTAATTAACACCAATTAAAACTTAAAACACTTAGTGTGTTTTAAGTTTTAATTGGTGTTCGGCAATTCACACTGATCACTTTAGTTCACTTTATTTCTCTTCGAAGTCTCGCTTGTATCGCCAATTCAATACTGCCCCGATCGCGGCAAGGGCTTTAAATACGCCTTTTCCACCGAAACATCCAGAATGTTTTAGCAAATACCGGTCCCGACCGACTAAGTGCAGAAAGTTCGAGAGTGGACTTTTCTAGAAAGCTTAATTCTTCTATTCGTTACTAGATGGCGCTGTTGGGAGAGTTCCAGAAAGATCTTGACACTCCTATTTCTGATACTTGATACCAGATGGCGCTAGTGCCATCAACTGTGGCGCGCAACAATAATTTTTTATCGTTTTTTAATATTTTATTTATTATTATAAATAGAATTTCATCAACATCATTATAGCCAATAGCGAGTCCACTGTTGAATAGGCCTCCCCTTAGATTGCTCCAAAATACGGTTCTGAGCTACCTCCATCCAAAGCTTACCAGCATGTTTCATCAGGTTCTCACGTCTAGTGGGGGTCGCCCATCCCTCCGTTTGTCCGTATAAGGCTGCCATTCCATAAATAAATTCCCCATCAGCTGTCCGTTCTTAGAGTTATATGACTGGGTTTATGTTAGTTACTCTTATTCTTCATTGGATATCCTTAATACGGATTTTTTCACACAAAGTAATTTTAAGCATAGCCATTTCTATTTTACCACACACACTGGTTTTTCACTTATGTTTTATGACTGAGCCGCATTCGGGTAATTTGCGACGAGTTTTCTTGTCCCTTAAACTAAAATAAAATGAAAATGTTATTCATACAGAATTATAAACATAGTATCTTTTTTTAGTATGGTATTATAATAATATTCATCATATATGGTCATATGCTACAAGATATATTCAATCAATTAATTAACTTTCATTTGCTAAAATGTGTTTACATGAAATTATTTAATGATAGTCTTTGTTAATTAGTAATCGTTATTACCTTTAATTAATTTTCAGGTTAAAAAATGGTTTCATTATGTTGGTGAATCTAAAGAATATTCGTCCCCAATTAATTTTTAGGTTAAAAAATGTTTACCGTTTTGCAGGTTAAGCTAAAAAATATTCGTCGATGTGTGTTAATGAACTATAACCCTGCTACGAAACTCATAGACATGCGCCATTACGTCATCCGCGCCATACCAGTCGGACTCAACAAAGGCACTAAAAAGGTAATATTTGGCCACTCATTCCACATAATTTTTTACCCATATACAATGTTTCTTTGCCCCCAGCATCCATCCATGTATCTTCGTTCTACCTTTACTTTTTTTCTCCTGTATTGTGGAGGCAGTTTACAAACTTAACACAAGGACAAACATCCAGACCCATTACAACTATTTGTAGGTCATACCTGTACTGTGCGGGGCTAGAACCCGTGGCCCTCAGCTCTGCAACTCAAATTAAGCCAATGCGCCATGGAGCCGTCAATCTATTAAAAATTAGAAAAATGTAGTGTTATTTATAAGATAGGGTGACAAACGAGCACACAGTCCACCTGATGGTAAGTGCTTGCTGCGGCCCATAGACATCTACATCTATCCTCGATTACAAATGAAAATGCAGATGCATTGTCACCCGTGAGAACTAAGATGGAATGCCTCGTTTCCAGTCAAAATGGTCTCCGGTTCTCTAAACTCACCATACACACAGTAGCATTAAGCTACTATTTGACGCTGGTATTCTGTGAAAGCGTGATCCTTCCCCGGTCGAGCCGACCCATTCGTGCTACAACTATACTACTAATATAACTGCAGCATGGCTCTACCACATATAAAATCTAATTGGAAAGTCTTTGAACACATTGTCGTATATCGGAATTGAATCTAATTAGTCTTAGTAACTCAGGCAATCAATACGAGAATACACAATCTTGTGCAAAAAAACTTGTTAGGCGAATTGTCTTCTTTAAAATAATCATGGGACATTAAAAGTCAAGTATATACAATACGTAACGTAATTAACGCACTTTGAGAAAGTAGTTTGTTCAGAATCGTTTACTGAATTGATTCCTATCATTTTTAATATAGGTATTTTTTATCCCAAAAATAATTAAAATTACGTAAATTACAGTCACACTAAATCTGTAAAGTCACAACAAACTGAAATGGACCGTAACTTAAGGCAATAAGACTTTTAAGAGTGCAGTTTTATTTGTATTATTACTAATTCTGTCATTCAATAAAAATAAAGAAAAATGAACTTTATTTCTAGCACGTTAAAGTCTTTGCGTTCGTAGATTTGTACTGTGACCACAACATTCTTCCGGAATTAGTATAACTAATTTGATAAATAATCAGTGCATAAAAATGTTTAACTAAAAATTCAGTGTATGTATTATGATTATAACATAATATACTAATTGGGGTGTCTGAGGGTGTGCGTTAATTACGTTACATATTGTATAGTATACCTGCCACAAACACTGCGAAGGAAACAAAAGCAAGAAATATTAAGTTAAAATTGTTATATTGTTTCAGATGGTGCAAGGTAAAATACCCAACTTGAATCGATGCAAGGATATGTCGGAATTCTTCGATAAGTAAGCTTTAGCGACAATATTATTTATTAATTGAACCTTTGTCTGTTCTAATGCATTTCTAGTTTTTATAGAATAAGGGTGACAAACACGCACAAGCCCATCTGATGGTAAGTGGATTCTGTGGCAATGGACACCTACAACTCCTCACCCCTGAGGACTAAGGTGGAATGCCTTGTTTTCAGTAAGCTGGAAGGTCTCATTATTAGTAAAAAAGAATTCCGTTTGTTAGCACTCGCCTCACAAAACACAACAACAATTTGGTGTTATTTTTTATTAGTATTGTATGGTATTCAGTGCGAGGGTTGATTCTACTGGGTAAGGGGTGACGCTTTCTCTTATGTTTATATTTGTACATTTGTTGTTGATACCCTATGTTACATTTGGAACACAGGGTACACCATTTACTAGTACACATTCAGTACAAGCGAGTGGAAATAAAAGATAATCTAGCCATATTACTTAAAGTTAAAGTAAAGTAAAGTTACAGTCTATATACGTCCCACTGCTGGGCACAGGCCTCCCCTCATTTCTGAGAGGGTTTTAGGGCAAGTAAATGTCCGCCACGCTGCCCCAATGCGTGTTGGTGAACTTCACATGTCTTCGAAATATTTTTTTTTCTTATTCCTCAGACATGCAGGTTTCCTCACGATGTTTTCCTTCACCGCTGAGTACGTGGTAAATCAGCACTTAAAATTGCAATTAACAATTTCATTGGTGCCGGCGGGGATCGAACCCGGGTTACTCGCGTTCTGTTATATTTACAGCGAGCGTTAACCATCTGAGCTACCACGGCTCATAGCCATATTACTTACAGCCATATTATGATATCAGGCCTATATAAAGTAGAGGGCGTCGGAATATAACCTGTGTGAATGATAACCTGCAGTACGTCTGGTACTCCGATAGTAATTTTTTAATAGAATAAGGAATATAAATGTGCTTAATACAGTCCATCTGATGGTAAGTGGTTGTTGTGGACCATAGACATTTACATCTATCCTCAACTAAAAATCAAAATGCAGATGCGTTGTCACCCATGAGGACTAAGTTGTAATGTCTCGTTTCCAGCAAAAAGGGTCTATATTTCTCTACACTCACCATACAAAACACAGCAGCATTAAGCTGCTATTTTACGCTGGTATTCTGTGAGAGCGAGGTCCTTCCCCGGTCGAGCCGACCCATTCGTGCTACAACTATACTACTAAACTTTAATAAAACATGTATAATTATTAATAAAAAAACAAACAAAGAACGTGACAATAGCTAGAAACAGAATAAAGTATCGAATTATATCACTGTCCATTTTAATGTGTTTATTATTAATAAACACTTGATCATAATAACTTAGAAAAATAAGATGGAGGTTGAATTCGTACACCACTAATCAAAGAACCCTTGTGAACTAACATCATATTGGTATTAATATAACCTAGGACACTGGAAAAGGTCCGTTTAGGCTGCAGGAGTTCACAGAGGTATAAAAAATATACAGCAAAATGATCCAAAATACATTATCTTCCTTTGGCAGTGCACTAAAATATTCTTGTCTATCAGGGCTGCGCTAATGTCGGAGAGTGAGTTTGAAGACGACCCCAACTCACAAGTGGTATTACCACAGAGTCTCGCTTCTCGGGGTGCCGCAGTCAATTCGAGATCAGCTATACGGCTGGTGGAGCTTGGCCCGAGAATCACTTTACAGTTAATCAAGGTATGTTTTACTTTGGTAGCAGTTAAATATTCGCATCTGGATGGCATGTTTAATTATTATAGCATATTAAGCTATCAAGGACTGTTTTCGAGTTCAATTGTCGATGTCAACATTAGTAAAAAAACATATTGTTGATTTTTTTCATAACCAAAATATTAAATGGATTTTATGAAATTCTTTCCAATTAAAATATGGTTTTCGCCAATTCTGCTTTTGTGCTTAGGTACTAACTGTAAAATTTCATTTTTTCGTAACCCCTATTTGGATAAATATTTAAAGGCTTAAAAGGATAAATGTTTCACGACAATACTCGAGTGTATTATTGTCGTGAAACACTCCTAACATAAACATTTTAAGCCTTATTAGAGTAGTTTACGGAATCATGAGTAGTACTGCTAGAATTATTTATTTTAATTACTTTCTTGTATTAAACGTAATTTAAAGACATAAAATACTAAAAGTGCTCATGATTAGCAGGTTGATTTATTTCAAAATATTCGTAGCTTTGAGCTTATGTAAGCCTTTTTTAGTTCTCACAAGGAGTAATGTTAAACTTAAATTGTGGACGCAAATTTTAAAACATAGGAAACAATAAAAAGAAAGGGCAGGTAAGTCTTTATAGTTATTTTTCTCAATATAATTGTAGGATTGGTATTGTTGGTTTTGCAAATTTATATAATATTTTACGTGTACTAAAGTGCATAATCATTTTTGTGTTATATAACTCATCTTACAATTCGAAACAGAATACATTTTTTTTATAGAAGAGGGGGCAAACGAGCATGCGGCTCACCTGATGGTAAGTGACTACTGCCGCCCATGAGTAACCGCAACACCAAGGGAATTGCAGGTGCGTTACCGCCCCTTTAGAAAAGAGTAAGCTCTTTTCTTGAAGGTCCCTAAGTCGTACCGGTCCGGAAAAGTCGTCGGTGGTAAACAATTCCACAGAGAAGTTGTACGAAGAAGAAAACTCCTAGTAAAACATACAACGTACAAGCGGTCCACTACCGCCAAGCATCCAGATGGTGGGGTTGGTATCGGGAATTTTGACGCGATGTGTGTTCGTGAATTTGGCGGCTGGAACTAATCCGAACAATTCCTCAGAACACTCCCTATGATAGAAAACGCAAAGGGATGGAACATCCCTACGCAGCGCCAGTGGATCGAGCCGATCAGAAAGAACTCGGTCATGGACGATTCGAATCGCTCTGCGTTGGATGCGGTCAAGTGGAAGGAGCTGGCACTGGGGTGCCCCGGCCCAGAGATGAGAATTGAGGCCAGAGAAGTGAGGCCGAACTTGCGCTTTGTAAAGTTGCAAGTGATGTGCCGGCACGAAATACTGTCTCGCTCTGCTGAGCACGCCAAGCTTTTTGGAGGCCAATTTGGCCTTCCCCTCCAAGTGACCACGAAACTGCACACTATTCGATAGGTCGACTCCGAGGATTCCGATGCTAGATGAGGCAGCAAGGGGAGTGCCTTCAAACTGAGGAGATACGACAAAGGGGTTCTTTTTAGCGGTTAACGCGCAAACTTGTGTCTTCTGGGAATTGAATTGGACTAGATTTAGTCGCCCTCAATCCGAGACTTTGTGAAGCAAAGAATCGACTTTAGCAGACACAGGTTTGTCCCGGTACTTGGCGACGATTTCCCGAGAAATATTGGCACGGCCGGTGTATAAGGCATCACCAGTGCAGTCGTCTACATAGCAATGAATGCTACCAGTTTGCAACATATCATTGATATGCAGAAGAATACAGCGATGGTGATAGCACGCAGCCTTGTGGAACACCAGCGTTTATAGGCTTGTAATCAGAGCATGCACCGTCTACTATGACCTTGATGCTGGGATTAGCAAGAAGACTAGTGATCCAATCGCACAATTTCTCGGGAAGCCCGGAGGAAGGAGGAAGGAACGGAGCTTCGAAAGAAGCGCTTTGTGCCAGACCCGATCGAAGGCCTTAGCTATGTCCAAACTAACGGCCATTCCCTTGGACTCTGATGCCTCCGCCCATCTATGAGTAAGGTAGAGCAGAAGATCACCAGCTGAACGACCACGACGAAAACCTTATTGGCGGTCACTGATCAGCTGGTGATTCTCAAGGTACCTCATGAGCTGGCAGTTTACAATATATTCCATTATTTTGGAGAACAAGGAAGTGATGGCGATAGGCCTGTAGTTGGACGGGTCTGAGCGGTCGCGAGAGAGCTTAACAGATCGGTTTTCACTTTTGCGGCATGGGGCAGTGAGTCGTCCTCCCTGTGCAGAGATGGAAGAAATGGCTCACAGAAATTACTCTGGACTGCCTTGGCGAGAGACCAGAATGCACGAGTTCCAAAAGGAAGGCGAACTAGTTTCTTGCCAATTCTGCCTATGTGCTCTGACTTTGCCTTGGCAATGACTCTTGAAGGACCTGGAGGTGGAATTGTACTTCTTTTTTAGAGCACTGGTGTTTACATCCCGGGACGTTGATGCGTCAGCCCAGTCTCGGTAGCGCTCCTGCTTATAGCGTGATGCTATTTTACAGGAGCGACCAAACCATGGCTGGGATCTGCCTCCGATGGGCACTACAGACAGAGGACGGAATAAAAAGTTCCATACCCTGAAGTACCACATCAGCGACAGAATCAGCAACAACGCTTGGATCGTCCGGTGAGAAGCAAACCCGTCCCCAGGGGTAGGATGCAAAAAAAGACCGCACCCCATTCCAATCGGCCGACCTATAGTGCCAAATACGGCGGCAGCCTGCAGAATGCAACCGCGACCTTAATGTGACTTGCACCACACTCCGGACAAGACAATGGTCTGACGAGCCTAAAGAGGCGTCGACGGAAACCTGATATCCGTCCGGATGAGAGATCAGCAGAAGGTCCATCAGGGAAGGTGTATCCTCCTCATCTGGAATCCGCGTAAGGCGCAGTAACCATTTGTGTCAGACAGTATGCCAAAGCAGTCGTAAACATATCTTCCTGCATGATCGGTTTAACGTGTACCGAGCCATTCGGCGTATTTAAGAGATCCTTCGAGCCGGATTCGATTCCGAACTATGCTTATCTCTTTATCCTACACTGCTTTTCGAATTTGGTTCAGTAATATTCTTTTTGACCGAAAATTACTTATGTTATTTGTGACCAATGTTATATTTAAATTATAATTCTTATTCAGGTGGAAGATGGCCTTATGGATGGAGAGGTCCTATTCCATGAACTTATAGAGAAGACAGATGAAGAAAAAGCACTCATAAAGAAGAGGAGAGAAGAGAAGAGGTAAAATTATTCTTTTTCTAATTATGATACATACGACGGGTGATCCACAAGTAATGATAATGAATATTAAACACGGTGATTATAGTTAAAAAATCTACAGTTTCCTAACAAGTCGATGCATTTAATCCCATCTTTTTTCTAAACCCAAAATTCCCATAGAAAAAAAATCTTTATTTTGACCCTCCATAAAGCCTCAACAGCCTCGAAGGTGTTTCTTGAGCCTACGAAATAGAAATCATTGGGAGCTAGATCTGGCGAATAGGGCGGTGTTCGAGCATTTCAAATCCCGTTTCTTTAATGACCGCCATCGAAATTGCGACTGTGTGAGCCGGAGCGTTGTCTCGGTGAAAAACAGCACTCCAGCTCGCAGTTTGCCGCGTCTTTTTTCCTTAATAGCCTCCCGCAATCTTCTTATTTGGCCTGCATAGTAATAACCCGAAATAGTGGCTCCACCATAATTATTCCTTCAGCGTCCTAAAAAAACGGACGCCATGACCTTACGCGCCGAACGCAATGCCGAAAGAAATTCAGTGTCAAACTTTGAATTTCTTCGGCGTGAGGTGAGGTGAGGTGATTGTTGTTTAGTTCCAGGATCAAAATGGTGGATCCAGGTTTCGTCCATGGTCACGAAACGTGACAATTTTTTTGCTTGATATGCTTGGAACTTTTCAAGATTCACCCTCGAAATGTCGACTCGTTTTTCTTTTGCTCGTCGGTTGACATTCTCGGTACTCAACCCAGAGACCTTTTTCATATGCAATCTATGAATACAGAAAACAAATGAAAGAAATGAAATGAAATGAAAGTTTATTGTTTCCAACGTTTTCTTAAAATTAGTACGAGTTTGAGGACTTCTTTTAAGTATAAAGATACTTGTGGTAGAAGGCCCTCGCCCTCCCTTAACTAAGTATAATTAACATAGGAGAAACAGTGTGTGTGTGTGTGTGTGTGTGTGTGTGTGTGTGTGTGTGTGTGTGTGTGTGTGTGTGTGTGTGTGTGTGTGTGTGTGTGTGTGTGTGTGTGTGTGTGTGTCTGTGTGTGTGTGTGTGTGTGTCTGTGTGTCTGTGTGTTGTGTGTGTGTCTGTGTGTCTGTGTGTCTGTGTGTCTGTGTGTCTGTGTGTCTGTGTGTCTGTGTGTCTGTGTGTCTGTGTGTCTGTGTGTCTGTGTGTGTGTGTGTGTGTGTGTGTGTGTGGGTGTGGGTGTGGGTGTGGGTGTGGGTGTGGGTGTGGGTGTGGGTGTGTGTGTGTGTGTGTGTGTGTGTGTGTGTGTGTGCGCGTGCGTGCGTGCGTGTGTGTGGGTGGGTGGGTGGGTGGGTGGGTATGTACGTGTGTACGTATGAGAAAAAGACAGTGAGTGAATGTATTTATAGGATAAATTCTAATAAGGCTTCAGTTTGATCGTAATTAAGTGTCTTAAGCCACTGCATTATTTTTTTCTTACAATCGTATGTCTTTAAAGGATATATTTGCAATATTTTATTAATTTGATTATATAAGTGTTCTGATCGTTTTTCATATTGATTTTTCGCAAAGTTGGTTTTTGTACTGCATATAGGAACTACACTATAATTTCTTCTTTTACTACCGTAAGTAGGATTAAAAGACAAAGACTTATGTTTTTTTTTAACAAAGTGAGTAATATGTACAACTGCCTCGCCGAAATCACCCCACAAGATGAATACAAAATGCTAGTGGGGAACCTATATGGCTTAAAATGTATAACTTTCAATAAACATCTTTGAGCTCTCTCAACTTCAATAAATTTACTTTTATAAGTACCCCCCCAAATAGGTATACAATATATTATTATAGATTGAGCAAGCGCTACATAAATTTGATTTAAAAGGTCTGGACAAGCAACATATCTTAAAGTTTTAAATATCCAAGTGAGTTTTCGAATTCTACTAGACACTAATTCGACATGTTTGTACCAGGAAAGTCGTTGATCCACCATAACGCCCAGATACTTTATGTATGAAACTTTTTGAATAGATGTACACGTACAGTTACCGCTGGAAGGATTGTAACATTTATGTATTTTAAGTCTAAAATCATCTTTTGGCTGTGATCGGCTAGTTATAGAAAAACATATGAATTGAGTTTTATTAACATTCGAAGTGAGTAAGTTATTATCAAGCCAACGAGCAACCCTAGCTAATTGTTTTTCCGCTATCGATTGCACTTCTTCCCAAGTGTCTCCCCAAAATAATATCGCAGTGTCATCTGCATATGAGAAAACTCTTCCTCTATTCACACTCATACTACACAGATTATTAATATACACTAGGAATAACGTAGGGCCGAGCACGCTTCCCTGCGGTACACCATAATTAACATTTGTATAGCTACTACTGTATTGACCTATTCTTACAATCTGTGTCCTATCAGAGAGGTAATCATTTAAAAGTTTTAGAGGTATACCTCTGATACCAATCTGTTCTAATTTATTAACAAGAATGGAGATTGATACAGTATCAAAGGCCTTTTTTAGATCCAAAAAGACAGCAAGACATTTTCTACCGCTATCCAAGGTATTTACAATTTGTGAACTCAACGCGGCAACTGCATCTTCCGTAGAGCATCCCTTTCTTCTGCTAATATTTTAAATTTAGAGAGATACTGTATAAGTCTATTGTTAACTAACTTTTCCAAAATCTTTGAGAAGACAGGCAGCAAGGAGATTGGCCGATAATTACCAACTTCTTTCTTATCTCCACTTTTGTAAATCGGTATTACAATAGATTGCTTCAGCAGTTTCGGAAAGACACCCTTTTCAAAGCATATATTAACAAAATGGCAGAGGATGGGGACACGTAGTTGTTTAGCCATCTTGAGAAATCCGGTTGAAATATTGTCCCAGCCAGGGGGCGGAATCTGATTTGAGACCTGCAATAATTCTGTTGATCTCTTCCGGATAGGTTTCAATCAAAACAAAGGAAGAATGTGCCTTTACAAATACAGTTTTATGTGCTTCATCAATATGGCAAGAAGATAAACAATTATTAGGACTTATTTTCTCGGCAAGATTTTTACCCACACTAGCAAAGTACTCATTTACTTTATCAATCAAATCAACTGGTGAGAATTTCGAACTTAACAGGTCTAAACTATTGACACTTGATTGTTTTATATAGGTTATATTCTTTATGTGCTTCCAGAGAGTTTTACTTGATTTGGATGATATTGCTAAAAGCTTCCTTTCATATTCCCGTTTAAGTTTCTTGATTAATTTAGTAACATAGTTGCGATACCTTTTGTATGTAATTTTTAATACTTCATTATAAGGATTCAATCTTAGCTTCTTTTGCATACTATTCCTATTTCGTATACATTTTAAAATACCTGTTGTTATCCATGGTTTAATTTTTCGCTTATTAATAGAAATATTTACAATTTTTGTATTTTCTACAATTGATTCTTTTATTTTGTAAATTAATTGATGTATTATATATTCCGGATTATCACTAAAAAGAAGGTTAGACAGGTTTTTTTTTGAGCTAGACTGGCAAGTGCTTTATAATAGTCAGTGTTGTGTTTAATCTTAACATTAATTACTTTTTGTCTAATATTGCTTAATTTGAGTAATATCATAGCATGATCTGTGATAGAAGTGTTCAGTACAGCAATATCAGCAGAAATAGTTTGTTGATTTAATTTTAGTATGAAATGATCCAAGCAGCTGTTCTCTCTTGTAGGGATATGATGTCCCGGTAAAAACCCATACGTAGAAAGCATATTTAAGTATTTTGACCTATTAGTTATTTCGTATGTTTGTTCTGTAAGCTTAGGTGTAATATTTATATTAATATCTCAACATATTACTTATATTAATATCTCACAAAGCCTGTGTGGTTTGTTCTTTAATTTTTTGCAGATTGTAAACAATTTTTTTTTTTGATTTTTCTATTTTTATGAATATCTAATATATATTATTTTTAATCTAATTATTATAAAATATGACTAATAGTACAGAAAAAAACATTAACCATTTTCTAACATATTAACTTCTCCACTATGAAATATGTCAAATATTACACCTAGTGGCGCTACTTTTTCGGCCATTTTTTTTCTCATTGAGTGCGTGTGCGCGAGCATGCGTCCATGTATGTGTAGCTTCCTATAACAGAACTTACGGGAACCATAATATAATAATAAACAGTAACATACCAACTTATAATCAAATAAAGGTTAAGTTATTATTATTTTATAAATTCGAAAAAGAATGTTGGCACCGCTTTGCTTATTACTTATACATATTTGCCTTAAAATTTATTTATTTCTTAATCAGACGTCTGAAGGAGAAACGTAAAGCGCAGCAAGAGGCAAACGTTAAACGGAAACAGCATGAGAAAGAGGAGCTCAAACAGAAGGCGCTAGAAGGTATCAAAAAGAAGAAGGAGATCACCGAGAATCAGAGGTATTTATTTTGTGCATTATAATTCTTAATAAAAAAGCTAATCAAACTAAGTATAGTGTACTTTTATACGTAATCAAAATAATAAAGTATTTATAGGTGGTAGCGCCGTGCTGCGGTTATATTAGTAGTATAGTTGTAGCACGAATGAATCGACCGGGGAAGGACCACATTCTCACAGAATGCCAGCGTAAAATAGCAGCTCAACGCTGATGTGTTTCGTATGGTGACTGTAGAGAACTGGAGACCCTTTTTACTGGAAACGAGGCATTCCTTCTTAGTCTTCACACGTGACAACGCATCTGCCTTTTGATTCGTAAGTATCGAGTATATATGTAGATGTCTATGGGCCACAGCAACCGCTTACCATCAGGTGAACTAAGTAAGTAAGTAGTAAGTAAGTGCTCGTTTGTCACCCTAATTATATAAAAAAAGACATATCTGGAGACAGATGAGGTATACTATATATCTCATCTGCATACTAGCATACATAGCGTACGTCCAAACTCATATTTCACAGACTTAACAGGCAACGGCAACTCCATTACGAGCGTTTCAGTTCTGCCACTTACCAACTCACCTGCTCGACGTGGTATGGGCCAATCTTCCATGTTGTGTATGCCAGCTGGTGCATTCCTTTGTCAAAATTTTATATTACTGACACATATGATCCTTGTTGGTCGAAATTGTCAAAGAAATATTTATTTATTTTTAATATGCTCTTGATGTGTTGTGATGAGAAAATGTGTCGGTATCAGGTTAATGGAGCTAGCGGCTGCCGAGTCACAGAACACTGTGGACATGGAACAGGACGACGTTGAGGACGATGCAGACTACTACAGGCAGGAAGTCGGGGCAGAACCAGAGCAAGGTGAGCCATCCATTAATTAATTGTAAACAAATATACCAGAAAATCCACTACCCCACATCATCCCTGGGGATATCGCGTGCGAAAGAGGGAAATTAATTGCAGCAACTCCCAACCCACCCGTAAACTATGGCAGCCATGCCAAATATCCCCCCCTACGAGAGATTATATAATGGGGGCTTATGTCAGTTGTGTGCCAGTGGAGTTTTGACAGGCTGCAATGAATGTATGAAAATCCTCTGAACTCACACGGATCTAGCAAGAAGCCATGATCAGCTCTAAAAAATTAATTGCCAACCATTTTTTCCTGATAATGTTACTAGTTTTCAGTCTGTTATATAGAAGGCTGACAAACAAGCACACTTTTCACATGACACATGATGATATACAGATGTTGTGGCACATTGATAAATAAATGTAACCTCCAAAAGTGCAGCTGTGTTTGTCACGGTTGAGACAAGTTGAAGTTAGAGGTTGTCATTTCACCATACAAAGAGCATTATGCTGCAGTTTCAGCTAAAGGTTCAGTGTCTGTGGTATGATCATAGAATACTATAATACACAATAGAATGGCTGTCAACCTTATGCAATTTCGTCGTATTATCAGTTATCCCTACTACTAACACATTTTAAACTTTTGATTAATATTTTTGACTCATAAATGTTTCTTTATTTTTGTTTCTAATATTCACAAAATATAAATAGTTTCGACTTACTAGTTGTAGAATATGTCTTCATCATCATCATTACAGCCTTTAACAAGTCCACTGCTGAACATAGGCCTCCCCCAAGTAATGCCACAAAGCACGGTCCTGAGCCACCTGCATCCATCCACTTCCTGTATATCTTACCAGGTCGTGGGGGTTCTGTTTTTGGTTTGCTTATTGGGGGCCTGGTTTTACTGCGGATATCCTCATTTCTGAGTCTATCACGCAGAGAAACTCCGAGCATAGCCCTAACCATAGCTCGCTGAGCGACCTTGAGCGTCCTCATACGGCCAGCAGTGAAGGACCACGTCTCAGATCCGTAAGTCATCACTGGCAACACGCACTGGTTGTACAATCTAGTTTTCAGAGATTGATGTATACCTGACGAGAAGATGTGTCGTAATTTCCCGAACGCTGCCCAGCCGAGTTGAATCCGTCGATTGACCTCTCGGTCGAAGTTGGACTTACCTAGTCGGACTATTTATCCCAGGTAAACTTACTCGTCAACAACTTCGAGCATAGTACTTCCAACAACTACCGGCATAGGTGTGACATGGACATTAAACATGATCTTTGTTTTGTCCAAGTTCATCTTAAGACCTATCCGTTGGGAGACACCATTGAGGTCATTGAGCATAGTGCTTAGGTCCTCCAGCGATTCTGCCATAAGGACATATCGTCGGCAAATCGAAGGGGAGTGATGTACTCGCCGCTGATGTTAATACCGTATCCTTTCCAGTCCAGTAGCTTGAAAACGTCTTCCAATGCAGCGGTGAAGAGTTTCGGGGATATAACGTCACCCTGTCTTACACCTCTCTGCAGTTGGATAGGTTTCGAACTCTGGTTCTGTACTCGGATAGCCATCTTAGCCCTACTGTACAAATACTTCAATACTTCGATATACCGACAGTCAACTTGGCACCGCTGAAGGGACTGTAGCACCGCCCAAATTTCGACGGAATCAAAGGCTTTCTCATAGTCCACATACGCCAGGCAAAGTGGCAGATTGTACTCTTCGGTCTTCTGTACAATCTGCCGCAGGGTATGTATGTGGTCTATGGTACTAAAGCCTTTTCGGAAACCGGCTTGTTCGGGAGGCTGGAAGTCGTCGAGTCTGCGTGCGAGACGGTTCGTAATGACTCTCGAAAACAGCACGTAGACGCGGCTCAGAAGGGAAATCGGTCTGTAGTTCTTCAGAGAGCGTTGTCGCCTTTCTTAAAGAACAAGACCACCGCACTTCTGCTCCACGCCTCCGGAGTAGTGCCACCATGGAGGGCGAAATTGAAGAGCTTCTGAAGGACTTTAAGTACCGGTGTTCCACCCGCTTTCAGAAGCTCCGCTGTAATTTCATCCTCACCTGCGGTCCTGCCGTTTTTAAGGTGCTGGAGAACCATTCTAATCTCGCTTAGACTGACGTCCAGGATATCATCGGAATAGTTTCGGATAAGACTTGCTCTTGGATCGTTACTCACACTTGCGTGTGGCTCCAATGTGATGTGTACAGCCCTAGAACCTCTCAATCTCATTCTCAGGTGCCGGAATCGATGTTGCAGTTGGTTGTCTTTCTGGCAGACAGATCTCTGGCAAAGATTTTGGAGCCCTGGTTCCACTTGATCGCTTCTTTAATACGAGCTGTATTGAAGTTGCGTAAGCCTCGCCGCACGCACTTGGAGATCTGTCTGTTCAGTCGCCTGTATGCTGTCAAATCTGCTGACGACTGCAGCCTCATCTCCCGTCTAACAGCCATGGGATTAAGAGTGTGATCGGATAGTTTTTGTGTTTCGTCTGCGGCGGGTCGCTGCATATCGTCCACTGCATTGCAATCTTCTAGGCACTGAAAGCGGATACGTAACTCGAGCTGAAAGGTTTAGGGATTCTGGATTAGAGCACGAGGGGGACGGAGCATTGACTTCATTAGACGAGACCTCTCTAACTTAACGTTCAGGTTCAGTGTGCCTCTAACCATTCGTTGATCGCTGCCAGTTTTCACCCTTGCGATCACTGAGACATCACTGAACAGTTGGCGTCTGGTCGTCATAATGAAGTCAATCTCGTTTTTTGTCGAACCGTCGGGGCTCGACCAGGTCCACTTTGTGGGGCCGCTTCTGGAAGAAAGAGTTCATCATAAAAAGTCCCTCTTTCTCCATGAAGTCGGCCAGCTGCTGGCCCCGTGGGTTCCGTTGCCCTATCCTAAATTTGCCTACCTTCAGCTCACCGTTCTTTCTTGTGCCCAGTTTTGCGTTGAAGTCTCCCATTAACACCGTATAGTGAGTTTTGGAGGAATGCATGGCTCTAGAAATGTCCTCATACATTTCCTCCACCTCCTCATCAGGATGTTCCGACGTTGGCGCGTAAACCTGTATGACCTTCAGCGAATACCGTTTGGTGATTCCGAGTATAAGGTACGCAACCCTCTTCGATACTCCCAATCTTTAAAACGTTGTTAACGAGAGACTTGTGGACGATAAATCCAACACCTCCTTGGGACAGATGGTCGCCCTCCCGGTGATAGAACAAGTTGCCGGATTCGAGCATCATCGTGTCCTCCCCTCTGTTCGGACCTCGGATAATCCTATAATATTCCAGCGCAACTTGTCTATCTCTTCTTCCAGCTCCAGGATCTTAGAATATGTCTCCTTTATTTAAATTCCATTTCCCGCTGTTCTTTCGACACGTAATTATTGCACAATTCGTCATTTTTTAAATAATTTGCATGCAGCGACGCTTGACACGAAAATTGGAAGCAATAGATTGCGTTATTTATACGTGTGAATTGACGTGTTAGTGACATGTTAGTGGCTACACGGGCTCCGCCCACTCCCCCGTTCTATTATGTATATATTATAGTATTCTATGGGTCTGACCCATTTTGTGATATCGCCACAATACACTGTAACTTAGTTCAACTATTTATTTATTTAATAGATATATTTGCTTAAAACATGGACGGATAAAGATGGTAGTTTGCAAATTTGCTTGGTTTATAAGTATAAAATCTAATTTAATTTCTTAATTTTAGTGCAAAGTTGTGCAAGAAAAGTTACGTCGGATATGGCAATACAAATGAGAAAGATCCTCTGAGTAGCGTGTTAAAGTTAAAGCCTATGCCTCGTTTCCAGTAAAAGGAGTATAAAAGTAAAAAAGTTACAGCCTATATACGTCCCACTGCTGGGCACGGGCCTTCCCTCATTTCTGAGAGGGTTTTAGGGCGAGGACATGTTTCCGCCGCACTGCCTCAATGTGTGTTGGTGAGCTTCACGTTTTCGAAATAATTTTTCTCATTTCTCAGACATGCAAGTGCCGAGCACGTGGTAAATCAGCACTTAAAATTTACAATTTCATTGGTGCCGACAGGGATCAAACCCGGTTTGCTCGCGTACTGTGAAATTTACAGCGAGCGCTAACCATCTGAGGCTACAATGGCTCTTCGACTCTCACGGGAGTAGCGTGTACACTTCCAATATTAATTTATACAGAAAAGTTGACAATTACTTATGGAATCTCTTAGTCCTAGCCGTTGACGAAGTTTGTCATCGGCCAGGCATATTTATATGTATTTTTAATATAATGTGTATAAAATGTACCTTTGTATGAAATCATGTATGTCATGTAATATATATCATGTATGTATTAATTTTTAGATCTCTTCAGTCAAAACACGTCGAGAAAGCGCAAAACTGACGAACAACCGCGGGGATTTAAAAAAATGCGACTAGATAAGAAACTACAGAAAAAATACCATAAGGGCGATGATAAGTCGCAGAAATCTCATAATAAGGGTGGTAGAAAGTTCGACAGGAACAAAGATAGGGAAGAAAACTTTAGGAACAACAAAGACGGAAAGAAAAGATTTAATAAAAGAGAAGATACAAACCGACAAGGGCACGGGAAGCAGAAGAAAGTGTTTGGTGGTAAGATTAACAAATTTGGAAAGATGGGTCAAAAAGGTAAAACCAAAGGGAAGAATAAGAAATAAAAGTGCTATAATGAATAGAGTGCTTTGTAAATAAAAATGTTTAACTATTTAAGTGTTCTACATATAACCCTTCCTATAATTGAAAAGAACTAGCTTGTCTTCCCACAGCTGGGAACAGCGTCTTTACAATATGAATATTTTAAAATAACCACAGTGGGTAAATATTTAAGTGTTAAAGTTACAGCCAATGTACTACCCACTGCTGGGCACAGGCATCTCCTCATTTCTGAGAGGGATTTAGGGCAAGGAAAACACCGCCGCGCTGCCCCAATGAGTGTGAGCGAAGTTCCTATGTCTTATAGGAAATAATATAATATTTTTTCTTCTTATTTCTAAGACATGCTGATTTCCTCACGTTTTCCTTTACCGCCGAGCAAGTGGTAAATCAGCACTTAAAATTGCAAGTAACAATTTCATTGTTATTACGTACATATATTACAAGTATTTGAGTGTGGTAAATACTGTATATATGTACAGGTAAAAAAGCATCCGGAAATTGTTAGAAGTAGGGATGCCGATACTTTTCGAAAAAGATCGATTTTTAAATCGATTCGCAAAAAATCGAGGTCTAAAAGATCGGTTTTCTGGCATCTGAAAATTTGCCTATAAATATTTAAGATCATCAATAAGCGACTGGGCTTATGATTCACTTAGTATTACAACGATCGCTAATCCTCCCGTTATAAATAAAATTTTTAACAAAAGTTAAATCTGACTTAACCTTAAAAACTAAAATAAATTAACGTTTATTTTAGTTTTTTAGTAGTAATTATTTTATTCTTTTTTGTTATTTGTAATCTGCTTTTATAGTTTTTTTATCCTTGGCAGTGGACCAAGATTTATCACAATCTCGCTGTCGTCGTCTAAATATTTACATTAAAAACGATCCCCTATTTCCCTATTTAGTTTTTTCTTTCAATTTTAAACAATTTTTTCTTTAAATTTATACGGGCTCACCCCTTAAATCGGGTGTCAGTTGGCGAAGATATCGCGGAACATAGTTACAAAAAATAAAATGAAACAGTCAAATGGTGACTTCCTCCTATTTTTGAAGTCGGCTAAAAATTATTTTTATTTTATCATTATCATTTTTATCAGCAGATGGCTCAGGACCGGGTTTGGTAACATACCTTTAGGGGGGCCAATGTTCAGTAGACTTGTGAAAAGCTGTGATGATGACATTACATTCCATCTTTTTTTTTTCAATTGGTTGGTGGAAACTGGATGTTTTTCCTTTTTTCCATTAAAAACATTTTCATGTAAAATGCTTCCAAGACAAGACCATATGGCTCACACTGTCAAAAATAAGAGATCTCATGTAGGACGACTACTGCTGGTGAGGTGGACTATTGCTGCTGGCGGCTGGCGGTGCCGCCCCTGCCTTTTATTCCGGCCCCGTCGTGGAACAGGATCTGTAAAAGATCTCCAAGTACCACGATATTCCGTTTATCAAACCACCCGTTTTTTTCTTCGATGGTATTGTTACGAGCTTGAGGTTCGTGTCAATAAAAATTGCCGATAAAATTACCTAAATTAACACTTTAATTTTCTTTACACAAATTAAAACTTAAAACACTAATAATTAATCACACTGATTCCCTTTATTCCGCTCCGAAGCTTCGCTTGTCTCGCCAAATTCAATACTTCCCCGATCGCGTATTGCAGCGCCTTTATATAGGGCTCTTCCACGAAAACATCCAGAATATGCGAGTAAATACGCGCGCCAACCGACCAAGCGCAGAAAGTTCGAGTTTGGGGCTTCCAGAAAGCTTAGTTCTTCAATTCGATACTAGAAAGATTAGTGATGTCATTTTCTGGAAAGCTCTCTCTTCGCTCTGTTACCCGACACTAGATGGCGCTAGTGCCAGATGTCAACTTAGCCGCGCAACACTGCCCCCTCCTAAGACATGCTCGTCCCGAGCATTATCGGCCCCATAATAACGCGCCAGGCGATCCACATGGACGATCTTAGGAGTCCCTCTTGCGCCTTTCTGTATCCGGTAGGTTACATCGTTGATCCGGGTTACAATCCGGTACGGGCCGTCCCATTTAGCTTGAAGCTTAGGAGATTTCCCTTTGCTGCGGACTGGATTGTGCAACCACATTAGTGAACCTTCGTCGAAGCCTTTATTGTTCATTTTGCGGTCGTACCGGGTTTTCATCTTCTCAGACATTTGCTGGCCCGATTGTCTGACGTGTTCATAAATATCATTCATTTTGTTCCGCAAGTCATTTGCATAATCGGTTATACTGCGTGGGGCATCAGGTGGTATCCCGGTGATCAGGTCTGCAGGCAGCCGTAATTCTCTTCCAAAGTTTGCGAAAGCTGGTGCCACTGCTGTACTTTCGTGAACAGCGCTTCGATATAACAACAAAAACGGTTGTATGTGCTTGTCCCAATCTCGTTGCCGATTGTCTACAACTTTTTGCTAGGAAATAGAAATAGAAATTGAAATTTTTTTTATTCAATGTAGATTATAAAAATACTTATTGAAAGTCACTTTTTTAATTTACCACTGGTTCGCAAAAAAAACCTCTGTCCTGGGAAGAACCAGCAAGAAACCCAGCGGGACTATTTTTTTTAATAATAACTTACAATCATGTTTACAATCAACAACACAAGACAAATTAGAAATAGCTTGGTAGCGATCACCCTTCCCAGGGGTTATTATCATCTATAAATTCCTTAATATTATAATAACCCTTTTTATACAAACTTAGTTTAATAACATTTTTGAACTTTGTGTGTGACAAATTTTGTATATTTTCTGGGATTTTGTTGTAAAAGCGTATACATCGCCCCAAGAATGAAAACTGACTCGGTGGAGTAAGTCATAAATGTCATTTTCTTAATTTTACAGTAGAGCACATTAAAGTTTTTTTGTTTGTTATAACTGTGTTTATTACTAGGTTTGGTGTGATATATGATTGAAAACGTTTTTTTAACTTTGTTCGTATAATGTATGGTTTAAATTAAAAAAAAACTGACATAATATTTATAAAGAGATTTAAATAAATGCAAAAAACTGCAACAAGACCCACATTTGTGGCTTTCTGGCACTAAATGATGTCACTTCAATAACTTGTGACAATTATGATTATAATATTTTTGTAAATAAAACACGATAATAGTGAAATTTACTATTTATTTGACCATATTTGTGTTACTTAACAACTTGTTAACTAATTAAAGTAAATTTTAGGTTTTTTACTAACCGTACTAGCTAATTTTACCTTACTTATCATAATCATTGCACAGTAATTACACAAAACTTTCCTTAGACATTAAATAAAAAATTATAACTTAATATTAACACATTATAATGCCATTTTTAAGCATTACAAATTCGGAGGGTAAGTGATTCAAATAATTAAGTACTTTAACTTAACTCAAAGTTCACTTATCCTACCTTTGGAGATCAGTTTCATCAACATTATAAAATTTTAGGCTAACAACTAACAAAAAGTATTCTTCTTTGTAAATACAATTATTAATTAAGTATTAGGTTTCCTATTTTTTAACAGATGGTGCAGCAAATTTAAAGAATAGAATTATAAAATAGCTATATTGCTTTGGAATAATGTTGTCGCGAATCAATTGTGACAAATTTCTTTTCTTCTGCTCTGAAATGGCTATTTGAGAATTGTATGCACGTTATATTATATATTTTTTCGTCCCTTTCCAGATCTGATTTTAATTAAAACTTTCGTCCAAATTTCTTCTTCATACGAAGTTTTGAATTCATATTCATCTCGGTTCTTAAAAAACGGATCATTCTGATTTCTGTAAGTTTAACAGCATTCCCGTCAATTCCTTTTAAAGTATTCATCCCTATTTCCTCACACAATGCTTTCAGATCTATGAAGTCATCGTAATTTAGTTCTTGAACTATGAAGGCCATTCCGAATTTTTTGGCATTCCATATAAGTTGAACATAATGGCTTGGCAAATAGATAGGGCCAGATTTTTAGTACTTTAAATAGCTTTTTCGATTAGAGAATGGGCATTATCACCCTCGTTCTGTGTGTGCCCACGCACAAGAAACTTGTGAGTCACCGAGTTAATATTTAGTGTCGAAATTGCATAATGATACATTGCAAATATGAATCTGTAAAATAAATAAATAAAGCCGCTTTTTCTTCATCTAAAGCATTTTTATACGATTCACACGGTCGGTCGCATTGATCCTTTATAGGTGTGAAAAAAGAAATGTTAAACTCCGTATTAAATATATGTGCGTAAAACTCATATTTTGCAGCAATACTTTGGGTGGATTCTCTTTATAGTGTCTATACATTTCAGCAATAGTAAGATCACCATCAATGAACTTACGTCTAGTATAAGCCCTAATATAGTGGCTTTCGACTCGCGGAATTGCTTTTATATGCTCACGTACAGATTGGGCGACGTCTGGGTCCAAATTGGTCTTTGAATGCTTTCCACGACGATCAATTGCAACTACACCAGTACCACTGCATTTTGATTGAATAATCGTCCGTAACATGCTTTCACCTATTCCGAACATGTTTAACAAGAAGGTTTTGCACACTTTTATAGGTTTACCTTCTACTGAAAATGTAAAACAACAATTTGGTCGTCTTTATTTTGTAGCATTATTTTCGAGCGACTCAAAGAAATATTTAGAGCTACTACACACGTTGACAAATAATCTCGTTGCCTCTAAAATGAACGAAGTTCCCAGAAATTGTTGAACAATTTTTGCCTCATCTCTGTCGTTAATTTCATTGAGCAAGTTAATCGGCATTTATTTGAGCAGGGAGGTTTCATTTCTTTAGCTTTTACTAGTTTCCGAGTTTGAAAAACATAATCTTTTCCAGAATTTTTATGGGCTTCAATTAACTTTTCTTCCATTTGGCAACATTTCGTACTCTTTTTTGCCTTTTTTGGTAGGTTCTTACAAAGAAGAGTTTGTAGAACTAGAAGATGAACTACACGACGAGCTGGATGAAGAGTCAGATGATGAGCTGGACGAAGAGCT